AGAGAGGAGGATACAAAGGAGGCCAGAGTGGCTGCAGAGCTGGGGAGGGGACGAGGGGAGGGGACGAGGGGAGGTGGGACCGGGGCTGGAGGCTGCATTGGTACCCACCGCTGCGTGACAACATGGCCCTAACTCACAGCTCACAGCAGCAGACGTTACTGTCTCACAGGCTGTGTGGACGTAGATCCAGGTGGTGTCAGTGGCTTCCTCTGCCCCAGGTGTCTCAGGAGGCTGGGGCTGTGGGCTGCACCGAGGCTCTGCTGGGCAGGACCCACCTCTGAGCCCATTCAGCTGTTACTGGCTCCTGCAGTTTGGGCCAAAGGTCTCAGTTCTTTTCCTTCTTTCTTTCCTTTTTTCTTACATACTTTCTTTTTTTTTTTTTTTAAAGATGACCGGTAAGGGGATCTTAACCCTTGACTTGCTGTTGTCAGCACGACGCTCTCCCAAGTGAGCCACGGGCTGACCCTTCTTTTCTTTTTTCTAACTGGCGGCCGCTTCCCGGTCCAGGGATCCGAACCCTGACCTTGGCTCAGTTCTGTTCTGTCTGTTGGCCGGGACTCTGCGATGCCACAGGGTGTCATCCAGGGCACTGTTCCCTACCTGGGGACATTCCTCACTGACCTCGTGATGCTGGACACTGCCATGAAGGACTATGTGTATGTGAGTGAGACCGGGCCCTGGGGGGCAGGACAAGGGGGAGGCAGGACCCAGAGCTGGAGGCTGCACTGGTACCCATTGCAGTGTGACAACATGGCCCTAACTCACAACTCACAGCCGCAGATGTTACTGTCACACAGGCTGTGTGGACACGGATCCAGTCATGGTCGGTGGGGGCCTCTGCCCCGGGTGTCTCAGGAGGCTGGGGCTGGGGGCTCCACTGAGGCTCTGCTGGGCAGGACCCGCCTCTGAGCTCAGTCGGCTGTTACTGGCTCCTGCGGTTTGGGCCAAGGGTCTCAGTTCTTTTCTGTCCGTTGCCAGGACTCTGTTGGTTCCTTGCCACTGGGCCTTCTCACAGGGCAGCTCATAATATCTCACCTTTCTTCCCTACAGGGAGTAACGAGAGAGAGAGAGAGAGAGCAGGCAGGAGAGGCAGAGCCAGACAGTAGGCACAGACTTCTCATAACTCAATCTCGGAAGCGACAACTCACCAGTTCTCCTGGATTCTTTTCCTTAGAGGACAGACACTGAGTCCAGTCCACTTTTGAGGGGAGGGGATTACACAGCCACTTGGTACCAGGAGGTGGAGATCGCTGCCCCCACACAGGCAGAGAGGAGGCGCTTGGGCCCCATCTAAATATCACAAGAAGCCACTGGAAGGTTGGGCCAGAGGGGACGATTTCTGAGTTTGCGTTAATTTCAGCTTGCCGTGCTGCAGACTAGGAAATGAGGCCATGAGGGGAAGTGACTCCCCGGATCACACGGTGGAACCAGGTCATTCCTTGTGCCACCTGCTTGTAGTTCTCCCATCGCTGGGTGTGTGCATTAGCTACGTGTGGCCCCAGCCCCTGGGGTAACAGGTGATACAGGTACTTATAGGTCTCTACACCTGATGACATCCCTGGGAAGCAGGTGCTGGAAAAGTCCCCAGAGCAGATGTGGAGCGTGCGATGGCCTGAGGGGCACAGTGACCCATCCAGGGTCACACAGTTGGGAAGAGGGAGCCAGGTCTGAGCCCAGCTCTGTCTCCTCAAAGCTGGGGTGCTGGCCACACCCAGGCCTGGCCAGGGGTGAGGGCTCTTGTGCTGCTGTAACTGTGTGCGGTCAGCACGTGGCGGGGGAGGGGCGCAGGCAGCTCCAGCAGAACTCGGAACCTGGTTGCCAGGCACCCACAATCCAGACACAGCCCCCTACCCAGCTCACTTGGCCGGAGTCACTGGAGAGAGACACATGCTTTCCTGTTGTGTCCCGAAGTGCCGAGGCTCAGGCCTCAGGAAACCCCAGAGCAGGAGCCTGTGCCAACGCCTCAGGCGCTGGGTCAGCCCTCTCCTCCGACGCTGGTGGCCTTTCACTCGTAGGAACCCAAAGGTAACAAAGGGGGCTGGCCCGTGGCTCACTTGGGAGAGTGTGGTGCTGATAACACCAAGGCCCTGGGTTCGGATCCCATATAGGGATGGCCGGCTGGCTCACTTGGGAGAGCGTGGTGCTGACAACACCAATTCAAGGGTTAAGATCCCCTTACCGGTCATCTTTAAAAGAAAAAAAAGGTAACATGGGGCAGCCCAGGCCAGGCCACTGCCGGCCTCTAGCTGGTGACAGGGGTGACCCACTCCACAGTCCTGATCCCACGGGTCCGGGCCTCCTCCCTTCCTCCACCACCACATCCTCCCCAGCCTGGCCAGGTGCAAGGTCACTTCTCACACACCTGTAGGAAAATCCAGGAACACACCGTGTGCTGTCCCTGTCCTCGCTTGCCTTTCTGGTGACAGGGACTCTGCGTTTTACTACTGATTATGTGTGAGCTGCTCTTCCTTGTCCCACCCAGATTGAAAATAAGTCAGGCCTGGCCCTGGATGACACCTGCAGGGTGGGGACCGTCACGGCAGGCACCCTGGAGAAGCTGGTGAATCAGCTGGTGCCTTCCCTGCAGAGCGGGGACCCCTTCTTCGTCCCCGCCTTCCTCTGCACCTACAGGAGGTTCGCCACCACCCGGCAGGTGCTGGACCTGCTGTTCAAGAGGTGAGCGTCCCCCCGCAGCACAGTGGGGACTCGGCCACCCACTGCTGTGGACCTGGGAATGCCACTTCACCTCTGTGAGCCTCAGTTTGCTCATGTAAGGACAGGAGTGCTCAGAGGACACCCTCCTAGGGCTGTTGTGAGGACAGTGGG